AGGCAAAGAAAGAGGGGGGTAAGAAGTTGTGGGGGGGGGGGGGGGGGGGGCGGGGAATGAGAAAGAGAGAGGCTGTAGTTTTCATGCAAATCAGTTCAAGACACTTCCCAGTTCTGCTTCCTCTGGCACATGCAGAAGTCAAAACACAAGACCCCTTCAGCTGCTGAGCCCTGCCTGCGGCACGGGGACTTTGCCTAGCCCAGACCTGCACACCACCGCTACCCTCCTCCAAAACGTGGCAGCCAGTTAGGGTCCTGAGAGCAGCGCAGGCAGGGCAGCACCACCGGGCAACACGGGGGAGCGAGCGTGTGCACAGGGTTAAACGGGGTTCTGCTTCCTCCAGAAGCGCGTTAGCACCCTGGGAGGAAGTTCGTGCAAGCACCCAACAAAGTCTGATCCCTTGATGCACCCGCACACAAGCGGCCGACTGCAACTCTGCTCCTTGAGGCCTGTTTAGAGCTTAAAAATTAGGACTGTGCTCCCTTCTAGCCTCTCTTCTCTCTTGAGAAGCTGCTTTCCAGCAGCTTGGTTTAGATTAAGATGCATTTAGATCACCCAGGGCCTTTCCCTGAAGAAACTCTCAAGCGAGTCCTGCCTGAAATGGGAGCTGGAAGCAAGCATACGTTTTCAGCCAGCGGGTATAATTTTAACTCGCTAAGCTTCCAGCGATCTCAACCCCGTGCCCTGTCCCTGGGAAACGCAAAGGACAACTCGGCAACTTCTGAAGCCCGTCACGGCTGCTCTTCAACAGCCCTGGCACCTCAAGCCCCAGGCCAGCGCTGCTTTCAGTCCACGACAGCAACCAGCACCTTGCGGTCTAGAAAGCTGCACATTTTCTTGGATTTTGGGGGTTTTCATTTGCACCAAACACATGCACCTGATGGAAGGATCCATGCAGCACCCTTGACATTGGAGAAACCAAGTTTTTTTGTTTCCTTTACCCACCGCCCCTTTTTAAAACAGGCGGTTTGCACTTTTAGCCCATAACAAGAAGATACTATGC